CATCATGATGAGCTAACTCGACATTAAACGTTTTAAAGACTGTTGAACATTCCCAGCTGAAGGGATTCCCAATCCCCTCTGCCCCGAGTCAGAGAGAAAATCTCTGCTGTGATTTAACTTATTTAAGCTGTTGAAAGGATGAGCTCAGCGAAGTGCTCGGCTCTCACCGAGATGGAGACGACATATTCACAGCTGGTCCTGAATGCTTGTGCGTCAGACAAAACCCAGCCATGAAGCGTTTACACCTGCGGGTCAGCACCTGTGAGTCAGGGCCACCGTGGGAACCAGGAGCTGACGGAAAACAGCTATGTCAGTTATTTAAAGTTAAAATAGGGATTTACAGCACAGAAACTAATATTACATAAAAACTGCGGGAAATCAGTCTCAAACTAACAGAGTTTTTTTTTAGAAAGGAATGCACATTGGTCCCACTTTTTATGCAAGGGTTTTGATCTAAAACTATATTATTTTGACTTTTGAGAAATGCCGGGAGCTGTTGTCGTTTTTGGTAAAATTTTAAAGACCAAGTTCACTGAGAAATCGTTTTTTTACTTGTTATCTTGAAAAACCAACTGTTACTCTGACCCCGGCTTTCCACAGGAGCCGTCAGCAGCACGTCTTGCTCGCGTAAACTGCTGCTCGGCCCTTCCCACAAGATGCGAAGCAGCAGGGGAGCAGCTGTCACCGACCGAGCACGAAGTCACACGAGTGACTTCGTCAGTAAATACAACAACAAGCAGGAGAAAACTACAACATGGCTCCAAAAGGTTTGTGTTTTATGTTCTGTCCGTTTTATAATCGCCAATACGGACCTGAAAAACAAAGGAGACCGCTAGCTAGGTGATAACTTCTCACGGGGCCGCACAGTTAGTAACTTTTTTTAAAGTAAAGCAACCGGAAGGCAGTACGTTTCTTTATTCTGAAAATCTCGGGAGCTTCTCTCCATTTCCACGTCCGATTTCCTGTCTTTCCTTCCCCAAAAATGTCGAACTTGACCCGTTTCAGAGGCGTCGCGTGTAGAAAATAGAACCGGCGCGTAAAGGCCGCGACATGCTGCTCCTGAGACGCGGCCGACTCGCGCTGCTGACGGCTCCAGTGGAAAAGGTTCTGTTGACCACAGCGGTTCCTATCAGCAGCTATGACGTGCTGCTGCAGTAACGTGCTGCTGACGGCTCCTGTGGAAAGCAGGGGTGAGTCTCACGTGCAGGATGAACGTGAAAATGGTCTGCTACCCCTATTTCCTGCTTCAGCCACTAATAGAAAATAGGCACGAAAACACTCACTTTAGAAAAGCTACTTAGATCCTCTGATGGCCTTTCCTTGCGAGGGATGGAAATGAGGGTTGATCGTTTTAATCTGTAAAGCACTTTGAGTTGCATTCCTTGTAAGAAAAGCACTTTATAGATAATGTCTGATTTGATTTGATCTACATCACATCATTCACAGACTCACTCATGATCAATCAATCACTCAATCAAAGCTTTATTTATAAAGCGCCTTCCGCAACCCTATCGGGAAGCGCAAGGCGCTGGGAAGATGATGGGAAGGCTGTTGTTGATTTGGAATTGAGGAAAGACCAGGGCACATCTTGGCTAGTAGAAGCTAACCTTTCTCCAACCATTCTAACTGCTAACCGTTAGCATTAG